ACATATCTATTACAATTCCATTGACTCCACTCCCACACTATACTCCGCATCCCGTGACTATATATATATTCAATTATAGTTGACATACAATATTATACAACATCAGCTTCAGGTGTGCAGTGCAGTGATCAAGCTCTACCCCATCCATAATAGACTATTTTTTAGAGCAGTTTAGGGTCACAGCAAAATTGAGTGGAAGGTACAGAGATTTCATAGTCCCCCCTTTTAAACATCCCCTGCCAGAGAGGTACACTTATTAGAATTGATGAACCCACATTGAACCTCTAAAATTTTATGTTTCAAAATGTACTATATGATTTTTTTTAAATGAGAAAAAATTATGTAATACTCTGCAGAAAGAAAACAAGTTTAGTACATTGCTTTTATACTGAGCTTTGTATACTTTTAAACTTTTTGAGTTGTGTACAGTTAAATATATATAAAAAGCATTTCAACTTATTTCAGATTTTGATACAAATGGAATAGGACTCCTGAAATTGATAAAGTAAATTGTGTTTGAACTAGTTCAATTGAAGTCCAGATCAAGTGTAAGAATAAATTGCATTTATACATTCTTGGTGTATTATACCTACAATTAAGATCCTAAAGATCAGGAATCTTAAAAATGTTGATGCTTTGACCCAGTAATTATACTTCTAGGAATTGACCTAAGGAAAGTGGTAGAAGCTTGCTTAACTGTTGGGTTGTTGGAAAAGTCATGATGTATTTTTTCTGTTTTTTGTTGCAAAAATGCGTCATGACTTTTCCAACAACCCAAAAACTCCAGGTTAACTGATGCTCTTCATTTATTGTGAATCAAGTAAGTGATACTGCTGGTTTCCTGTTCTGTGGAGTCATCCCACACTCTACTTCAGCCAGCTGAGTATGTCTTCAGCCGCAGACCACTAGGAACATGGCTGTAATTGACCAAGTTGGGTTCATTACTCACTCACTCTATGGAGGGAGAATGTACAAGGCGAGGGGAGGCCTGGGAGGGTGTCTAAGTAAGTGTTTTCTTCAGGACTTATGGGATTTGGGCTTATATTAGGTGATTTGGGGAAGGGTTAAGGAAGAGGGGATTTGCTCTGGATTAGATATTATTAGAATGTGGGTGATTCTCTGGGTATCTTAAATCTCATCTAGGAGGGCTGACTGGAGTGAGACTAAAGCTATACCTGCTAGAGAAGTAGCAGTCACTCATATTCACCAGGAGAGGGGGATGTTTGGTATTCTGTAGGTTGCACAGTGACTTTGTTTTTTTGGCCATGTTTAGACAAAATTTTGAAGTGTTTCTTGTTTTGTCTGACTTTTCCATGGTCTCAGAGTGACCTGTCTGATGTTGATGTTTTGTGAGATTATGTCCAACAGGAGAATAGCGTGTCCTAGCTGTGTGCCCCAGGCCAGCTTCAGACATCCGAAGGGCTGCTGTGTTGGGCAGTTCCTACATGGGGGCTGCTTTTTCCTGTCTCGGACTGTTGCTGAGAATCAGTTGAAATCTGTATATCCACTGTACTTTTTATAATTATATAATTTCATTAGATGGTATATAAAACATTGAAATTAGTACAAAAAGAGAGGACTTATTTCTATGAAAATTAAGTTGAACACTTTTGGGAAGATTTAGTAAGGTGAATCACTAAAAGCATTTTTAAGTGGCTAGTGAATTAGGGGTGGGTACAAGGCATTATAGAGACCATCAGAATACATTTCTACCAGAAGGATTGTGTATACTGACCACTTTATGAGTGTCTTCTGGTCCTTACTCCACTTTAAAGAAACCCACATTGTAAATTGCAAATGTGAAATATCATAAGTGTGGTTTATATAGTAAAGATGATGTGGAACTCTTGTCATTGGAGCCACACTCAGAGACAGGGCCATGGGTTTCTAATGCAAGGTTAGTAAATTAATGTACTTTCATATGTTTTAAGTTAAAAAGTGTTTCAGGTATGCATATGTTCTTTTTTATGACGCCTTACTTAAAGCAGCACTTTAAATTAACCAACCATAGTCCTGATTGTGTCAGGTAAGAGGCTTTTACTATGCCAAAAATGTCATGTAAAGATTTAGTTGCAAAATTGTTCACTGAAACTTTTATAATAGTAACCAAAAAAACAAAAACCTCCATGTTCATTAATGGGAGTAATGAAATTATGGTATATCCAAAAGGTGGAATAGTATATACAGAGGGTGCCAAAAAAACTGTATACACATTTTAAGCAAGGAAAAAACTGTATTAAAATTGTAATACTCAAGATATACCGATAACAAAAGATGAATACAAGCCATGTGTATGCATATTTTGGCATCCCAGTAGTTATTAAAGTCACGTTTTCAGATATCTTTTTAACAAGAAAAATGCTCATATAATGTGAAATATAAAGAGCAGTCTACAAAACCAAATAAACTAGGATCAGAATTTTAAGAATGTATATGTAAAAACTTACTGTGCAGAGTGTACATATATAATTTAAAGAAAATGATCCAAGACATTGACAGTTTACCCCAGATGCTGGGATTTCAGAGGTTTTTTTGTTTGTTTGTTTGGTTGGTTGGTAGGTTTTTTTGTGTGTGTTCCCTATGCTTTTCTATACTTTCCAAGTGTTCTATAATGAGTGTGTGTGTGTGTGTGTGTGTGTGTGTGTGGTGGTGGTGTTTCAATCAGGGGAAATGCTTTTTAAGAAAAGAGTTCCAGTATTGGCAATTTTAGAAACATACCTGTGTCCAGGTATGTCTTTCTGACTCTTTGCTCAGTGTGTTTCATTCGATAATAGAAGCTTTCATGTTCCCAAATGGGAAGAAAAGCAAAGGCAAAAGCAAAGGCATGATTTATTTAGCTTGGGGCTCCTATGGATTTAATAATGGGCTGACGTTTCCAACGTCTCAGGCCTAGCATACATATCCTAGGAATTAAGCTTTTGCTGATTGTGCCAACCCTCATTCAAAGGCAAAAACGCCCCTTCCCTGTTTATGCATTGTTTTAGTGTGTTCACCACACTGTGTTTTTTAAAAAAAGAAAGAAAAAACAGTGTACGTATCCTTCTTCTCCACTAGCCATACTACATTGCATGTTCCTTGGAAGAAAGAAGGGAATGGCTACCTTTGTATACTTAATCCCGAGACAGACCTTTTGCTCCTTAGTAATTGGCTAAATGTCTTGAACAAATGTACAGTAGACCCCTCACAGTATAAAGATTTACTGAAGACATGTAAAAGGTATTTGACTTAAAATATCAGAGTTGATAGTTTAAAAAAAATATACTCTCAGTGGCCTACACTAAAAACTTAGCAGTCCTTGAAGAACATCAGTGACAGGAAAGCAGCTTCTCAACAGCAGACTTGACGTTTCTTCTGATGATTCTGGACTGTTTTCACAGTAGAACCATGTGTGGGCATATGAATTGATGCAGCCATTTGATAAGGACAGTGGGCAGTATCTGTCAGATTGAGAGTGCACGTCAGCTTTGTTCCAGGAATTTACCCTTTAAATAAAAAGTAGGCACAAAGTAGGCAAATGTGTGTGGACGAATATCCTTGTTAGAGCGCTGTTTCCCAATAGGAGAGTGACTGGAATATTATAGTCATTGAGAATGAGGTAGATCTATTTACAGTGATGATGATGGCTCTCGTTTATTAAATACATATTATATGCCAGGCACTATGCCATGCATTTGACATAGTCTATTTAATAGTTTTTATAATTATGTGGCAGGTACTACTATTATTATGGCAGGTATTAGTATCAATTATTATTTTGCAGGTGAGGAAACTGAGGCACAGAAGTTACATAACGTGCACAAAGTCACACCGCTAGTAAGGAGCAGACCTGGTATTCGAATCCAGACAGTTTGACCTGCACTTTTAACCTCTAAAATGCATATTCTCAAAAAAAAAATTTAGGGCCGGTCAAGTGGCGCGATGGTTAAGAACTGGTTTGGGACACCAGAGAGCCCCGGTTCGGATCCCACATCTGAGGGCCAGTGACACTGCCCTCCACAGCTAAGATGCTGAACAACAGATCAACCTGGAGCTGGGCTGCCGTGAGTCGCCAGTCACGGCTTCGGCTGCAGCCCCTGTGGCAGTGGGTTGCCATGGGCTACCGTATGTAGCCAGCAGCCGCAGTGAGCGGCCATCCAGAAGCCGGCGACTGATCTGCCTCACCCGGGAAGAGCGTAATAATGGTGCCAACTTAGGCCAGTGAAGCAACGTCCTCCACAGCTAGACTGAAGAACAAAACGACAGCAACTTGTCTGTTC